TTTATAGCTGTGTTCTCATCACTTGGAGAGAATGACCTTCCCAACGTCGAAGACGTAATAAACAATTCCAATGCCAAACCAATGTAGGTATTTTCAGCTCAAGCAATAAGCTGTACCAGACTCAAGTCGAATCCAGAATAAGATGTAGAACTGATCAATATACCACAATCACTGGTCAACACTGATCAATGACATCATCCTGATGTCCGAAATGACAAGTCCGAAGACTAATAGAATATTGTGACACAGGATGGTCACATCCAAGATTCTTTCCGCAATAAGTAGAGTGTTCTCTACCAATCTGACATGACTTCTTGCAGTAACCTTCCACATATCCTCTGTGCATAAACTATACAACCAATGATGAATGGCATGTCGCTTCACCCTTACCCAAAGGGTGGTCTCACAGGATGTCAAATTTCCATACCCCCTTTCGACATGACATCTCATCCACTCACTCGCTTCCAGATACACTCACATCACTTCACTTCCATACATGGAAGAAAAATGTTCACCTTCCAGATCATATCCATGATCAAAAGATGTCCACAGAAGCACGTGTGCTCCCAAAACGCAAGGTAGATGATAGAGCATCATCCAAAACTCATCTCGTTCGATTCATGCATAATGTATTAACTTCCAAATTCAAAATCTTCTCTGTCGCGAAAGCCAGATGTTGGAATACCAGACTCAGTCCAAAGACTCCTAAAGTCTTTCCAGTACTAAGCTCATCTTCCAAAATCCAGTTCCTCGGATAAACCATGCGTCGATAACGATATACCTACAGTGCTGTTGTTTTCCTACAACAAACAAAACAACAACAACAACAACAACAACAACAACAACAACAACAGAACAAAACAAAACAAACACACACACACACACGAGACCCAAGACGAAACCTAACGTCGCATGATCGGAGTCAACACGAAAACCAAAGGCCAACTGTTTCAGCTAATCCGCACCTTCATGAAGAAGGTAGGCGTATGAAAAGAAAACGCAAGTGAAGTAATATCACTCATGCAACTCATCTCAAATTCAGAGCAAGTGAAGTACAGTTCACAGTCACTGCACAACAAATTCAAAATGTTCTGAATGAAAATCTCTCTCCGTCAGGGTCAGGACTAGCTAAGATTGGCACGGAATGAGGAAGCGGTGAGGGACATTTTAGCAAAACATCTCTCACAGCTTCATCATCGCATAGATCGCCGTCCCCCTTTCAACGTCTGATCCATCCTAAAGATCTCGGAGGTGTGGTATGTCTTGTTCGAGTCTATATCATGACATGACAGTACAATGTGTCAGCAATCATGGCATCAGATTCCCCTGGAAGATTTTCCGATTACTTAAACTCAGATTCCGTCCGAGTTTCTTCCCAGGTTCTCATCATATGCCATGACAACACAATTATACCAAAAATGTTTGTGCAAACACTCACAACCTCAAGTTCCATGTTTCAAGCAACAAAACTCAAGTCATGTACACAACAACTCAAACATGAGAAATACCGCAATCAAGCCAATCAAGAACAACTTCAACCTTTCTTCATGATGTCTCCCTCAGATCTGCTAGCAACTCCGAGTTCTGAATGCCTTCAAGAACGTTGCTCTCGCTATCGTCATTGAGAGACATATGACAGCAAAACGAACTTCAAACCAAAACCAAAATTTGCAAACAAAACCATATCTACTGCGTCACTCGGTGTGTCTCGCCCCCTTTTAAACTCAAATCCGATGCCTGCGCTCAACCATGCCGTCATTTCTGAAAACAACAAGTGAACCTCGAGCTGATAAAATCAACTATTCTCTTGTCGTTAAACCAGGCGAATTCCAGTGCCTTTGGCACTCTGCTCAGGGATAGATATCAGGGGTACACCCTGCGGTATTCCCGCGTCCCCTGAATCTGCATATACCCCAGAGGGGAAAACGCTGCGGTCCCCGTCAGAGGATCGTGACGTGGTGTGGGTGAAACAGCTCTGACACGTCCCGTGACTTCCTCGATCACCTGAGTGGGTGGCGACTTCATGTCTTTCACCTCCAAACCCAGGGGATAGCTCATCGGAACTTCACCCATCCGCGCCGGGCTATACCCTGCAAATCGCACTGTCTGCAATGTTGGTGGCGCTGGAATTGCCGGCCTTGGCGGAATCGCCGGAGGCGGTGGGACACTTGTGCCAGATCCAGCTGGTGCCATGGCTGGAGTCATAGGAGCCAATGGCGGATCCATAGGTGCCAATGGCGGATCCATAGGTGCCAATGGCGGGTCATACGCCGGGGGAGTTTCTGCCGGTGGCGTTCCCCTGATTTCAGCCGGTGGCGTTGCCCTTTCGATTCTTTCTGCCACTAGCTTGAGGTTCTCCTGGAGTTTATCCATGCTCTCCTGGAGTTGCGACATGATGTCTTGTAACGACTGATCCCTTTCCAGGCGACCCTTCTTGTTGTCACGAAGGGTGTCCTTCATTGAAGCGTCAAGCGACCACTCAACGTGCTTCTTGAGCTTGGTAAGTTCACCTACCATTGCTCCAACCCTGCTGGTGTTATGATTCACCCCTGCAGCAAGGGACTCAGAAGCACGTGCCATGTTGGTGACGGCTTCTCCAACAGCTTCCAGGGATCTGCAAAGGTCAGACTGCAGAGTATGGGTGCTCTTAATCAGGATCTCAAGTTTGTCCGTCGATCCTTTCAACGCAGCGACCATCGACGTGATTCCCACAGCCAAGCCTGTGGTAGAACTCAACAAGTCGGCCGCCTCGTTGGGATCAAAGGACTCATGATGCCTTCTCAGCCTCGGAGATCTCGATCTGTCGTCATCTCTTCCAGCATCTCCTTCATCCTTGTCTTCTCCATCCACATGGATAGTATCCTGCTCTTTCTCTTTCTCGGAATCCGTCTCAGCCACTCCTGTCTGTGCCGTCAACGGTGGATTTTCAGACAAGGGAAGCTCTCCCTCTGCCATTGGAACTGCTGGGGCTGCTGGAGTTGCGGAACCGGCAACGTTCGCTGCCATGAATTGCTCGAGTCTCCTATACAAGGCCTGATGCACCCGCTGGGATAAGCCGGGGCCCAAATACAGCTTGGGCATAATCTGCAATTCAACTTGACAATCCCTCTAATGACCATGCAGACCACAACTCAGCCATTTCATGCCATGCCAGGCACAAACTCTCTCTTGTTCATCCTAAGGTGCGTGACTCACACCTTAACAGATGAATTACACTTCCGACAAAGATCACACTCAATACTACCCCAAGATGCGTGCCGCACATCTTGACAGGTAATATGTGATCGATCAAACTCCAATGTCTCAGACCAAAACCAAAAATAGTGCAAACTTGTGACAAACCGCAAACTCAATCCAGATCCAACTGCCTGCATGCATTGGCACAACTCTTCACAAAACTGCAAAACAGATCACAGTGGTTTCCACGCGTATGAAACCCATAGACATGTCATGCAGCAAAAATGAAAACTCATGCAAAACTCGTGACAGTTGAAAAAAATCACACAAACTGAGTTCCACAAGTCCAAGTTCTGTCCAGTCCGAAATCGTCCAAAACTCTGAAATTCCAGGACATCCCAAAATTGTCATCTCACTCCAATCTCAGCTTGACAGCTCTTTCACCACAGCTTTTGCCTTTCGCCTCGCTGCTATCGTCGGCTTCCAAGTCTAGCATTACCACCCGACTTGGTACCATTAAAAATCTGTACATAGAGGAAATATATAGTACTAGTATAGTACTATACATATCCTCCCAAAACCCTCCCATCTATAAACCAGTATGTATAAACCAAATACCTCATATACATAGTTCAACATGTATATCCGTATACATACCTAAAGAATCGTGATACGCGCCGTCGAATGTTCATCTTCCTTTCTCAACTGTGATTCCTCATTCGAGGTCCAAAAATTTTTCTTCCAAAATAAAAATCGCCGTTTCGCCAAATCCGATTTCATGACATGTACAAACCTCTGCAAAACGAATGACAGATGAAACAAGGTGCCGATCACTCACGCAGCAATTCTTTTTCGCGCTTTGGCTCTTTATTCAAGGTTGGTGTTCCCAAGACCTGTTGGAGATATGCTTTCACATCAAAGTAAATTGTTCCGGTGTGATTTTCCGAGCAATCTCCACATTCCCGGGTTTGGGTGGGTGGGACACTTTGGTCTCCAACCCTGTTTGGTCCACTTACTGGCCACCATATAAGTATAAATTCATATACTGTCCATAAATTCCAAATTGAGATGATTGAACAATTGCACAGGTTTGACATTGAAGATTCCGTCAAATGTCAATTCCGAAAAACCTGTTTTGGACAACATGGTTTTGTTTGGCAATTGTTTTTCAACCAGTTTAGATTTACTTCCGAGTTACCGGGTTTCGCGTAAGACGTAAACCAACCCAGAAGAAATCGCGTTACGCGTAGATAAAGGAGGTAACCGAAATCACTACACAAAAGTGATGTGAAGATTACCAGAGGAGGAAGGAAAGATGTTTCACCGGATACTTCAGCGGAAGTATCAACATCAAGTACTAACTAATACACTATCGCAACGAGTCGCGAGTGCGTACTAGTATAGTACTATACATATCCTCCCAAAACCCTCTCATCTATAAACCAGTATGTATAAACCAAATACCTCATATACATAGTTCAACATGTATATCCGTATACATACCTAAAGAATCGTGATACGCGCCGTCGAATGTTCGTCTTCCTCAACTGTGATTCCTCATTCGAGGTCCAAAAATTTTTCTTCCAAAATAAAAATCGCCGTTTCGCCAAATCCGATTTCATGACATGTAAAAACCTCTGCAAAACGAATGACAGATGAAACAAGGTGCCGATCACTCACGCAGCAATTCTTTTTCGCGCTTTGGCTCTTTATTCAAGGTTGGTGTTCCCAAGACCTGTTGGAGATATGCTTTCACATCAAAGTAAATTGTTCCGGTGTGATTTTCCGAGCAATCTCCACATCCCATTGGTCAACGAGGGAAGTCACCACGGCTCCAAAAGCTTTTGCTTTTTGGCCTTCCTTGTCTTTACCGGCTCGGCTACCTTACGTTTCTTCTCCGCTGCCAGCTCCATGTGAAACTCATTGGCCTTTTCCATAAGTTCACTGAGGACCAACCATTTGGTGTCCCCACCAACAAACTGCACACGGCAATCCATGGGAAATTTCGTGAAAACCTGATTTGTCAAATCGTCTGCAAGTTGGTTTTTCTCTCTCGGAATCCATTGAAGATCTAGTTCGCAATTCCGGGCACGAAGGGTCTCTGAGAGCTCCATGATCAGCACCGTGAGTGGATATTTTGTACTCATCAACCGGCTGACTGCATAAGAATTTCCTTGGTTATCTGTACCAGCTCTCACCCAACACCGGCCCTTGCCACCTCTCTGTAGTCCATTTGCCCAAAGTCTGACAGCCACCAACGTAGCCAATAGTTCCAAAGCTGCTATTACCCGCTTTGGGTCTTTACGAACAAAAAGCCACGGTGCCCAGCTTTCTTGCACCTCTTCTGAGAACCACGAAATTATGCTACCTTCCTTTGATTGCAAGAAGCCTCCTATCCAAGCACCCTGCTCTGTAGCCTTTGCATCTGTAAAGAAAACGAGATCTGCTTCATTATCAGTTCGGATGGGAGTTGGCTCTTGTAGGCTGCCCCCATCTCGAGTTCTTTTAGCCAGAAACCAAAAAATTGTACGTAACATTGCCGGTATCTTCAAGAGGCCTTTCTTTGTCCTCACTGCTGCAGACCAGGCATATAATGGCCCCAAGAAGGGCCTCTCCCATGTCAAGGCGTTCGCTGCGAAGCCCAATCGGCCAAGTCCTTGTTCCATCTCCTTTGATGTTGTGCGACCTGTCTGAGCCATCTTTCTTGTCCAATTTTCCATCCAAGCCGCTCTGCTTTCGGACAGGCCCAATCTCATTGTAGTGTAATCGGTAAAAAGACCGATCCATTCCACCTTCAAGCCACCCCGTTGTTTGCTCCATTTGAAAGGAAAGCCCATAGTTGCAAGATACAAATAGGATAATACTATGCCCCTTCTACCTTGTATCCCAGCTCCAAGCGATTCCAAATCATCAGCGAAAATGAGCATCTCAATAGGCCGCTCTGGTCCAAGCAATTCGTGGGTCAAGCGGATACCAGACGCCGCTATCCTTCCCCACCAGTAACTTGCTGATGCTACGCCAAAGGTTCCAACCTTGTTGATGAAGATAAAAGGGTCATCGTTCTTGACCCTGCATGCCAAGAGCCCACATTCAGAAGGTTCGTGTAGGAAACGTCGGTGAGCTTTGCTGATATCCCCAACCAGACTGAAAACAATGTCACCCCTTGCTTTGTAATACGCAAGCAAATACATCTTCTCCCTAGCTCCAGGACTCCTTTGTTTATCCCTGCAACGGATACGATTGTTCACCTTCGTCCCGTGTGTCGCATCGTGGATGATGCGTTTCTTATTTCCATGAGATTCCTCCACCAAGACTGCAAGCGAAGAAATTGCCACCTTCGAACCAAACCTCTCATGTGCTTGTTCCAAAGTTAGTTTCTTCATCAAGCCTTCTTTGCACTCTTCTGCAAAATGTTCCCTTACAAATTCTTCATGGTCACCCACCGAATCGTAGTTGTTTCTCCATATCTCTGCTTTCATATAGGGGTCATCTTCCAGCTTCCATGAAGTCTGCTCCTCGTACATATGTGGCGTCCTTGGTAGGGGATGTAACACCCCAACCGGATAGCCGCTTTCTCCCTGCAGAAGAAATTTGTGGTCAGGGTCCCCAGCCCTATCCAGTAAGGCTTCCATCAGTCGCAATTTGAAGGGCTGCCTTTCCGCAACATGTTGAATGTTCTCTGTGTTGTAACCTTCTCCATGAAGTCTGTCGCACCACAATTGTACCAGTTGGGATGACAAGGCATCGTTTTTCACCAGTTTACAGCCCTCTTCACCTTTTGCCGCCATCTCAAAACAGATTCGGTCAAAGTTCTGTTGCCCCCCACAGTGTTGTAGAACCAAGTTGTATGAATCCTCTCTCAAACTGTTCCAAAAATTATCCCTATTCCAAACACGTTTCTCCAGGTCCCACCTTCCAGGTGAGGCTAAACCACTGCCATCATGAAACATCCTAGTCTTTCCAGGCACCTTGCATTGTCTCGGCTCCCCATGACCCCCATTCAGCTTCCAACCCTCCGGTTGCATAACTGGAAAACTTTCAGCTCCAACCTTTTCCTCCACACCGTTCATGCATTCTGATCCCCCACCGCAGGCAGAAATGGTGTGGAGGGAACTCCAAACAGTCAAAATTTGTGTTGCCACCCATTTACAAAAACTGCTTGGCCATTGCTCTGTACCCGTAGTAGTAAATTTACCCCCCTGATGTCCAATCAAACGCACTGTTGCTTGTCTCCGTTCCAACGGTCCTTGATAGAAACCCTGCTCGTCAAAACACGGCAGGCCAGGTTTCATGCATTTTTCATCCATGTGCAAACCTTTCAACAACAAGCGTGTCGGTTTCAGGTATTCAGTTCCATAGTCAGATTGGTAAAAAGCACATGTTTGAAACTTTCCAGACTCAATCAACTGTAAAAACAAAAGCCACTGCCACATGCTCGCTGGTCGTTGTCCTGCATATGGACCAACCTGAACCGCACCTAGATCCTCCGGATTCTCAAAAATGACAATTGTATCCATGTCTTGTACCAACTTGCATACCTGAAAAGAAAAATCTGTCATTGAATTTCCCCAGTTTGCTTTTCTCCTTTCCGTCCAAGTCAAACGCAAGTGTCCTCGCAAGTGAACATAGGATCGCACTGGCCTGGGTCCTCTTCGATTCGAAAAGGTAGCTCTGGTGAAAGTTGAACACGGTGGACTCAAAATGATTGCAGCATAGAAACCAGATGAAATCTTGTTTAACAGTTCCTTCTGTACTGAAGCTTTTGTCAGATCCAAATGCGGCTTCACTCTGATATCCACCATGTCTATCTGTACTTTTACTCCCCACTTTGCGGAGAGCTTTTTCGTCCATGCAGCCACTGAGCCCTTCCGGGCAATACCTGAAAACAAGTACAGGACCCTGCAAACATCTGTATTATGTGAAACCTTGACTCCATCTGTAGGCCCGAGTCAGTTGCCTGTAGTATCAGGCGTTGGCTTCTCCTTGCAATTCAACGCGTTGTGGCCCTTTGCAAAACATTTGCTGCAAAGGTGCGCAAACTTGCACTTCTGATAACTGCACTTGCCCGCATTGAACCTGTAGCATATCTTCTCACCATTGGGACTCTGTCCAGATCCTTTCTGTGGACCCTTTGTCTTGCTCTTGCCTTTTCCTTTTCCTTTCGGGTTCCATGTCCCTGGGCTTGTTGAGCTTGTACCCGGGGTGTATGATCTCTTTGAATACAGTGCCAACGGTGTAATGAAATGCCGCTCTTTCGTGGTAGGGCATTTCCATGCCTTTTCCAAAGCCGCCCCAATCATGAGCCTCTCCGTCTGCATCAACGTGTAGGCCCGCTTTCTGATTGCATGCTCATATGATAATACCAGGCTCCATGGTGGCGTCTGAATCTGTTGACCATTCAGATCCGTTGAGCTGAGCCCCCAAACATAGTCGCCCAAGATGTAGTCCTTGTACTTATCGAAGACCTCTTTGCTAACATCTTGTATCTCTTCTCTATTCACATGCTTGAGAGCCAACATCATCAAACAGTTCTGCATCACGTTTAGCCTCCTGCGAAGCTGCTCTGGCCCTGTCGGAAGCGGTACATTGGTGCTTCCTTTCTTGACTGAAAGGCTTCCTTTGCTGTCGAAGATCGGGACTAAAACGTCCGGGTCGATTTCATCCTTTGAAACCACTTCTGCAAGCGTCTCTGCACGAAATTCACCATTTTCCAGTTCTTGCAGCTTTTTCTCAAGGTATTCTTTCGAAGGCATGACTCGATCTTCCACGTGTCCAACAGTTGTTTGGAAGAAATTCCTGAGTTGGACGTAGTCTCCCACTGGAATGGGTTTAGTCCATTCCCTTGTACTCATCTCAGCTTCCACCTCCGCTTGTCGCTTGGCTTTTGTAAGAGTATCTTTCCATGAGCAAATAACCGATGCCACCTGTGCCCTTTCTGCCAGTGAAGCTGCTGCATCGATGTTGAACTCGGTGCGCAAAACCTCTATCAAATCCTGCTCATCCCTGAAAAAGGATGAAAATTTGTTCACCGTCACCACACCATTCTCGAAGAAATGCGCCTGAACTGTATCTGGAACATCGTTTCTGCCCAATGTAAATCTCAAGTCAGAGCTGCCCAATTTCAGGGCGTCAGCCAGTGTGCGAGGCCCCATCGGTGGAGCAGCCATGGTTGCGCTAGGAGTGCCCAGTGCGCGGTGCAAAAGAAAAATCTCAAGATTTCATTGAAATGTCGTTCCACTTGTCCAGCCTCTGCTCAAATATTGTGAACTTATATATATATATATATCATTTGTGTATTCCAACTATCCTGAACTAAACCGCTCAAAACAAAATCCTATCCAGTCAAGTAATAACATGCAAGATAAGTCAAACTCAAACGTCTGACCCTCTCACTTCTTTGAAGCCAAAAGATACCGGGAATCTGCGGATTCCTTTGGCTTTTCCTGTTGCCTCTATTCCGGAGGCAATTTTGATGTTCCATGTTGTGTGCCCTAACAAGTTCCGGTCAAGATGATGCTTCTGCCGATCTTGACAAGTTTAGGACACACTGCATTGAATCAGATCCATCGGATCTTTTACTTTCTCCGCCCGGTGGTCTATTCGACCGCTAAACCCATTTTGGGTTAACGATATATGTGAAACCCTTGTGAGAAGACCATGTTTCAAACATGCCACAAAGAGAAGTTCAACAAACTGAGAGCACTGCATCAACTGGAATCGCTGCTGCTGGATGACGTCGATGTATCTGATGATGTCTCACCAGAACTGTCATCTGCGTTCTTGTCTTTCGGCCAACAAACCCTGCAGACATGTGTATATTCTGAATCCTGCGGTCTGTTCTCAAACTCCACCGACTCTTTGAAGATTCTCTCTCTTGCCATCCAACAACCATTCACAGCTTTGTGTAACCTCTTGCAGTTCTTTGCAGTTGTGACAACTATGAAACCACTGACTCTGCATGTCTTTGTATCTTCTGTATGGCCCTCGTCCTGAACCTCTTCCAAGACGTCCCCCTCGGTTCCTTCAGGAGGTTGTTCTGCTGGATGCTCCCAGGTGCCATCTGATGCAAAAGAATCCATTGCCAACATTAACTTGCTGACCAGTTCACTGCGCTCCTCTTCAGCAATCTCCGTTTTTCTGTTCGGAAGCCATGCATCTGCACTCTCTGCTACATCAATTTCATCCAGAGTTTTAAAACGATGTGGTTTCCTCATTGCTTTTCCATACAATCCTTGAAGTTGAGACACCAAACCATTGTATGACCGCACATATGTATCACTTGCATCTGGTTTCCATCTGCCTACCAGATCACGCTTTGAGGTCTCGACTCCAAGCATAGCCAAGGCTGTAGGCAGTGTTGCCCTCTCGCTGTGTTCCGTCCAAAAAGATGCCAGTTCTTCAGGGAAAACAGGACTGAAATCATACAGTCCTACCAGATTCTTTCTCAAACGGCATGAATATGAAGTGACATCCTGATATGTTGCAAACTTGCGCTGAAAACCAGCCCAGTTGTCTGTCAGCTTCGGCAAAAGATAGTCCCTCTCAAAACCCGCATGCTGCTTCAACAACTGAAATCCAGTATAGATCCAAGATTTGTCCCAGATGAAAGCCTTCTCTGAGATACAGACTGGCAACTCCTGTACTCTCTTCCCAGGCCCTGACGTCTTTGTTACCCTGAGTGTTGTCGTAAGTCTCTCACCTGTAAAATGAAGTTCAGCAGGTTTGATTTTCTGCATATCATCAAAACGAAGTGCCCCCCAAATCTTCAACAATTTCACCCATGCAATGACCCTGAATCCAACTGTCTGTTCCGTGTCCATGACAGCCATCTCCAAGGACTCGACTGCCACTGCCGGATACCGTGGAGCCCTTCTAATGGGCGGGGTGTCTGCTGCCAACTTCTCAGTTATGTAATCCCTGATCTGACAAACTGCCTTTGTAGTTGCAACAACTTCTGACTCCGGCAAACCAGCTGTTTTCTCAAACCATGCAACTGCTTTGCAAATGAAATTTGGAATAGTGGCACCACAGGGTTCATCGAAACGTGTAAAAAGGTATTCACAGAACATGCCAGGGTGTACAAAAGAATCAGCTCCCCATGTCAAATGCTTCCATGACTGCCAGTCCTTCCAAGCCTTGACGTAACGCTTCAAAGTGCTTGCACGTGTCTTGCCAGCTATAGCCACATGAATGCGTTCCTGATTAACACAAACTTCCATACCATTCAAAACAGGTGCATTAATTTTTAACAGTTCCAAATAGAGTTCCTTTGCCCATTTCTCCTTCTGAGTCTCCTCATGGTTATGTTTTGCCAACGTCTGCTCAGCAGTAACCCTTTGTCTCCTACTAATCGGAACCCAACTTGCATCACTGTTTGAGCTGCCTAAGGCACCGGTCAAACCTGTCGCTGTTGATTTCCTTGTGAAACTGGACTGCAAAATGCTCCCAACATGCAAAGGGTCATGCTGATGTTCTCCACGTAGACGTTTCTGATAAGGCTCCAACTGAGAAACAGTACCTAACCAGCCTGAAACAATCTCCTCATGAACATGCTCACAAATAAGACCCAGATCATCGCAAATCTGATGTGCAATCGCTGATGCTTCATCTGAACTGAAAACTGCAAGTTTTCTCCTGTCCAAACCATATCTCAGTAAGACATGCCACATGTCTCTCTCCAGGGCATCCGACTCCATCGGGATTACGAGTAAGCCGGGGCTACAGCCGCATCCCACAAGACACTTTGGTCTCCAACCCTGTTTGGTCCACTTACTGGCCACCATATAAGTATAAATTCATATACTGTCCATAAATTCCAAATTGAGATGATTGAACAATTGCACAGGTTTGACATTGAAGATTCCGTCAAATGTCAATTCCGAAAAACCTGTTTTGGACAACATGGTTTTGTTTGGCAATTGTTTTTCAACCAGTTTAGATTTACTTCCGAGTTACCGGGTTTCGCGTAAGACGTAAACCAACCCAGAAGAAATCGCGTTACGCGTAGATAAAGGAGGTAACCGAAATCACTACACAAAAGTGATGTGAAGATTACCAGAGGAGGAAGGAAAGATGTTTCACCGGATACTTCAGCGGAAGTATCAACATCAAGTACTAACTAATACACTATCGCAACGAGTCGCGAGTGCTTGTCCTCTATTTCTTCTGTGCTCAAATGATTTGGTGAGCCTCCTTGGAGAATCGGTATAGGAGATTCCCGCAGTGATCATACTCTTCGGATCTCATCGCTCCCTGCCAGCGGTACTCATTGGGTTTATATTTCAAGAGAACTCCCGACTCGGCCTTCTGAAGATAGCCGATGGCGGTCACCTCTACCTCGACCAAGACATAGTCTTTGGCACAAAACTCACCCTTTGGACCTTCCGGTGTCCAATCATTGAAGTACTGAGCACGCTCGACGGCAGCAACCGGGTCCTTTCGTAGTCCAAACCTTTTGGAATATTCGTCAGGCTGAACCTCCTTCCCATTGTTCAAGTCATCAAACTGCTTAGGAGTCAATGCCAACCAAAGACGAATGGATTCCATTGCCGTTGATGCCATACTATCTCAAAGCTATTGCGAGGGCAGCTGAAATGCAAAAACACTGAGCCAAAGTTGTCTTATAGTAAAACAGCAACGGTGGAATGAAACCTCTACAGATATGAGAAGTCCAGACAAAATGTCACGTCAAGTCCAGCATAATAGACAGCTCCATACTTCGTCTCTCACCTAGACAGTATGTCGAGCTACAAACTGACAGCACATTTACATTCATTTCAGTCAGTTTCACGTTTCGGAACCTATGCAAGTCGTAATCGCCCCTGCCGTCCAGTTCCCTACGTCTCTTTCTCTTCTACTTAAATCTGTTCTCTGAGCCTATGCACGTCTGCAATCTAGCTCACGTGTGAACCTTGCAACGTCTTGCAATCTGGTCCACGTTTTGACTTTCTACAACTTTTCTTTCCCTTTTGGAACCTATGCAAGTCGTAATCGCCCCTGCCGTCCAGTTCCCTATGGACCTATGCAGCGCCTCTGCCATCCAGCCCATTTCTTTTCTTGTCTGTTGTAAGTCAAAACTCTTCAACTCAAAAGAAAATTGCAAATCTCAAATCCCAGATTCCCTCTCTTGCTTTTCACTCTGAGCAACACGCAAACGCACAAACTACACTACCGCTCTACTTCCCTCTCAGGATTCTCTGCAAAGCTCCAATGCTGTAAATCTCGTGAAACTCCATGCTAGCCTTCTGGTAGTACAAGATGTCCAATCAACATGGCCCAAGGTTCGCAAAGGAAACCCTCCAGGGTCGACTAACATCACAAGCATCTTGTTCTCAACTACGTTTCTACCAAGGGAAGTGCCATAACCATCGCAGGCAAACCACACTGGCAATCATCACTATAAAGACCATAGAGCTCGTCTCACAGCCAAATTGGCTTGCAGATATCTCCGTGCTCATCCATCCATCTAGAGAGGTACGGTACGATTGCTCTAAGCCAAAAGGGAAATGCTTGCATTCAGGTTATCTTCACACAAAGTCCAGTCAGTCTGACAACAACTCCAGAGTACCTACCTGTCTCAGGGTTCAATGTACCGTCTCTGCATCTGTCCCAGTCCTCACGACTACATCCTTTCCAGGTCTCACAAACAACTGCAACAATCCAAACAACGTAAGTCATACCTGACCTGCCTGCGACACTGCAAAACTGTTCAAACTCCGGTCAAAAACATGAAAAACAAACTCACAACAAAGTTTCCGGTTTCGTTTCAAATACAGTTCAAACAGTTTCCACTACCTACACAGTTCAGGTCGTTTCCAATGACTCACTACATGTCACAATCAAACGCACTCACAACTGCAGTTCAAACTACATCCTAGGTTACCTGATGCATCCGACAAATCAAACCAACTTTCCCAAACAGGCAAACACAGCTCACTCCGTTGTCAACTCACAGTCTCAACACCAAGTTCCACTGTGCCTCCAGTGCCATGACGGTTCCTATCTCTCTCTCTCAGCACTCTAGTACCTACACTGCCAGGCAAACAACAATGCTTCAGGCTTCAATCTCAAGGTCACCAGTCAGTGCAAACATCCGTCAAGCTCCACTGCTCCTGCACACTACTGAACCTCAGGTGTTCAATTATTCACGCATTACATTACACATGTGGCAACTAAACCAAGGTCACTGACAAAGCAAACTCGACCCTCCGTGGTTCTCATGCCAACGTTTCTCCAATCTATGGCAACTAAACCTGGTCACCAACCATTCCGGGTTCTCATGCCGATCTTTCTCAACTCTGGGCAACTAAACCTGGTCACTGACCATTCCGGGTTCTCATGCCAATCTTTCTCAACTCTGTGGCAACTAAACCAAGGCTACTGACCATTCCGGGTTCTCATGCCGATCTTTCTCAATTCTGTGGCAACTAAACCAAGGCTACTGACCATTCCGGGTTCTCATGCCAATCTTTCTCAATTCTGTGGCAACTAAACCTGGTCACCAACCCTCCGTGGTTCTCATGCCAATCTTTCTTAACTCAAACTGTCATCTCCAGGCATGACGCCAGGCTCAGTAGCACCACGCACTGTGCACTCCGTGCGTCCTGAATCATCTACAACCTGACCAACCTGTCGAGATGTTACTCTTTCTTACTTTCAATATGGACCTATGCAGCACCTTGCCGTACAGCCCACTTTCCTTCTAACTCTTTCCAATGCTCTCTAGTGATTCTCCAGGCACTTTCTCTCACTCTCGGCCAAAATCACCAAGCTTCCTGGTTTCCTAGTGACTCTCCAGGCTCTCTCTCTCTTACTAGCCAAAGTCACAAAACCTCTTACACAACTAAATCACAAATCTCACATGCAACGCAACTCAGTGTGTTGCAGCTCAGCCGCTGATACTTATTTTACTCTCGCTTACCACTTTTGCCAGGAACTCCATCGCCTATGCCCATGATATTTCACCTATCCAATGCTCTGTGATACCGTGCAAGTATCTGTCCTCGCACTTCACAGGATCGATGCTGCAACTCCCTTTCCAAGCCCATGAGATTGTCCTTCAACATCATGATGATATCCAAGTTGCTTCGGTTAATTCGCAGATCTTCCAATAGCGGTATCAGCCATTCCAGGAGTACGATCTGCGTCTGTAGCAACCTTATGACACCTTGCAACTTCTCTATCTCAATAATTCGGCCAAGGAGTTGATCATTCTCTGCCTCATACACAGCATTATCTCTCCTCCGATCTCTAGATCTATCTCTGGCATCCATCTTAGGCAAAACTATTGCGAAGTTCCTTGATACCCAAATTTCTTGAGCCAAATAGGGTACAGTGGTTTCAAACTTTCCAAACAGGTCAATTTCTACAAGCATTCTACACACTCAAACGTCATTAGGCAAGTTGTCGGAGTCCTTACTTGTCCAAACACCTCGCTTGTGTCTCCAGGATCTACTCCCAACCTCAGCCTATCCGGACGTTCTCAATGCTCATCTCCAGGCAAGTTGTCGGAGTCTTCACTGTCCAAACACCTCACTTGTGTCTCCAGGACTTACTCCCAACCTCAGCCTGTCGAGATATCCTAAGCATTTCAAAACATGTCATCTCTGGCAATCACTTGACAAGTCACCTTCACCCAATGACCTCACAGTCAACATGCCCAAAAAGTGAAACAAAAACACGTCTCATCTGAATCGAGAATACTCAAGCTCTTCGATGCCCTTGACTTTACATCCGCAATGTACCAACCTAGTGATCACTTCAGAACCTTAGTACAAGCTCAACACAGATCTCGCGAAAATCCAGGAGCTCAATACAAACGATCTCAGCTTCACCTTAGATGGTGTCCTTAGTACACTGCAACAAGGGTCAGCGGAGAATGGTGTGGGTAGCTCCGTAGAGCTCCGCTACCATGTAGAAAAAGCGCCGTGCACAGATCCACGGTCAGATCCAACGCTTCTTCCAAAATTCCTACAGAACTACGCGGGCGGACGCGTACGTCAACCACGCACACCAAACACAAGCGCAGCGCGTAAGTCCCTAACTAATTAAACTAAAGAAATACCGTGTCAAAAGGAATGTTTCTTCCACGACTCCCACATACTGACGTCAAGCTCCTTCTTTTCGCTCCAGACGCAGCACGATCAGTCGAAGAGAAACACAACAAGCAAACAAACAAAACACAACAGAAAACAAAGGAGAAGAAAGAAGCACAAGTTCCCTCTGCTGATCTGTCTTATGTCAGATTATGTGACACAGCAGCTTCTGTTCATTAAATGAACTTCTGACACCAGTCCTTCGAGCCGATGTCTCAACTGGTAAACTCGATTTCAGGTTTCCAGTTAACAAACCTCAAGTTCTTCAAATAAAGGTTTGTTGAAACTATTCCAGCTGCTAGGAGTCTACAAAACTCAATTTCACTAGATGAATTCAAAATCATCGAAACACTTCCAAAAGTTCTCAAATCAAACTGGTTCTCATCCAAACGTGAATAACCAGCTCATTAGTCAAACTTGTGACTAACTTCTCAAGAACGAAGTGATTCACACAAGATGTCTGTACAACCTTCTTCTGGATACAAAGTATAGTCAGAACACAAAGCTCTTTCTCCAAATCAGTTTTCCACACAGAGATAGCATCTCACAGTTTCCAAGCTCAATGGAGAATAGAATGTTCTATTCGACATTGTCAATGTAGG